TAAGAGGAGACCGAGAAGATGAAGTGAAAGAGGCTTTTGGATTCCACAAAATCCCTGGCCCTTCCTTTGGATTTGCAAAAATCTTTTTTATTTATACTTTAGGCTAAGAATCCACCAAAATCCATTCTTTATAAGAATCCTTGAAAATCTATCAATTTTTCAATATCATTAGATTTAGAAAGACTTTTTAAAATCTCAATTGAATACCTCTAAATTTTATAAGATTTTTTAAAATCCTGATTGAATACCCATTGACTTTTAAAATCCAAAAAAATCTTACAGAGTCTGGATTGAATACACCCCCCTCAATTTTGTTTTCTTCAAACAACCATGCTACACTTACACCAAAAAATGTATTCCAAAGTTACACCAAAGGTATACACTAACATTTTGAGGGTTCACACTGACACAAAATGCTGGTGCGTTTTCAAAAATTAGCACTGACAAAATGCTGGTGTGTTTATATTTTGAGGGTTCACACTGACACAAAATACTGACACAAAATGCTGCTGATGAGTAGATTAATAGTGAATACATGTGATGTGGTAGGTATGTTATAAATTAGTAGGAAGTATAAGTTTTCCATTATAAGTTTCAAAGTTTTGTAATTCCATATATTAACCACTTAAATTTACATAAATACTTAATTTCATAGTAATTCTTATTTTGGATATCTCTTTTTTTTTCGGAACTGATTCTTAATTTAGTACAGAGTAGCATTTATATCGAATATTTTGGTCATGTGGATTCATAGTGGATGCATAAAAATTCAACCGTAAGGGAATATATACCCAAATATGACTCTTGATACTAATTGAGGAATGTGACGAAGGTTATGAGTCTCTTTGCTTGCAGATATGCCTGGAAATCAAGATGATGCTCAAAAGGTTTATACGTGAAAATTTGCCAAGAATGCAGATATGCCATTAATACGTGAATGCTACATCGTGGGATGTAGAAGACTAAACTAAATGCCAGCTTGGCATGTACATGTAAGGTTTATGAACAGGTCTTGGGATGGCTTTGTGATGTGAACAAAGGAGCATGAAGAGCAATTGGAGTGGCTCAGTCAGTTTTTGGTGGGACAATTGGAGTGGCATTGGGGCACTTGGTGCTGTTTCTAATCAACTCAATCGGAAATATCTCTTAGAGCCTTTAAAAACCTATACTTTGAACAAGCAGTTTGACTTTTCTAAATTGGTTGACATTCTTGATCCTGGCTTTTTCTTCCATTTCAATGTGAATCTGGATCTGATTGGTTCCAATGTGCCTGACCAGCCCATTTGGAAACCAAAGAGTAATGGTCAATTTTCTATGCAAGCAGTTAAGCATTTTCTTAGGCCCAACAACTCAGTGGATAATGTTATTATTAATGGTTGGCATCCATGTGTTCCTTTTAAAATCTCTTTCTTGTACTGGAGGGTCCTCTTTCAAAAGCTTCCCATGGATGATTTTCTCATGCATATTGGAATTCCCACTGTCTCTAAATGCTATTGTTACACTCATCCTCATGTGGAAAGTTTGGAGCATGTGTTTTATAATGGGGAACTTGCTCACCAGGATTGGAAGCACTATGAGTATGTGTTTGGTATCCATGGAAATTCTCACACCATCAGACAACATCTACATTTATGGTGGAAGAACAAACTTCATTCCAAGAAACCTGCTGTTAGAGAATTCCTTCAACAGTGTGTCCCTATTTTCATTCTTTGGGGGGTCTGGAGAGCCTATTCTTCTATCAAATATGGGGGCTGTGATTACTCAGTGGCGAGAGTCATCCATCTTGTGGGGAAAGAGGCTGCTGAAGCTGCATCCAGAAAGTGGCCTTCCTTAAATGAAGTTCTTCCCCACTGGAAATCAGTGTTCAAACTTGCAGGTACTTTACCCAAATCCTTTATGATCAAAAAGGTTTGTTGGCAATATCCTGAGGGAGAATCTGTTAAACTTAACCTTGGTGGAGGACAATTTCCTCATCAAACTGCTGCAGCTGCTGTCCTCAGGAATAGCAAAGGGGAATTCCTTTTTGGTTATGCTTCTTCCAGCCCTAAACCAAAGTACATGGTCTATTTGGAAGTTGGAGTTCAAGTTCTAAGTTGGGGACTGGCGCATGGCTTCAGAAGCATTATCATTGAGACTGATGAAGGGGAGGTTCCCTTCCTTCAACTTGGGATTAACCCGGAGCAAGATGACTATTTAAGAAAGTTTCACTTTCTTCTCTCTTGTGTTAAGAGCTCCTTTGAGGTGTGTGAGAAGCAAGTAAACAGACTGCCTCATTTCTTGGTGACATGGAGCTGTAATCAGTCACACTCCTTCCAGTTTTTCTCTGTCTTTGACCTGCCCCTTGAAGCACAAAAGTTACATCAATTTGATCTTAGACAATATCCCAGTTATGCCTCGACCAGTGCTAAACCTGGTAAGGATGATCCCCTCAGTCAGCCCCTTTTGTTGTTCAGTCTGGCATACTTGGTGGGCTATTCTTTACTCCATTGTTTCCACAACGCTTGCTGTTGACTACATTTGGGATTATCAGGAGGACGTTTTTATTCCTTGTTATGTTCTCTCTCTTTTATGGTGGTATGCTCTTGTGAATTATGGTTATGTTGGTGGTTCTATTTGGTGGCATTGTATGGAGCGTTATTCTGTGAAGAATCTTTACAGCTATCTAAAAACCATTACGTTTGCCATGACAATGAAGAATTTTTATTTTCTTCTAGTCTTGGTGGGTATGGTTTTGTGTAGTTGGGTAGGACCAGCTGTGTTTTGCTCCGGTGTGAGTGTGGTCCTACCCTTTTTGAAGTACCTGATTGTGAGGTTGTGCTCTTTGGCCATTGTGCTTCGTTTGGACTTGTTGTGTTGTTTTGTTGTTAGGACAGTATGTGGCACTGGTCATGCTGTAGTATAGGGGTTTTGTTGCTAGTTAGGACCTTCTTGTGGCCTTGGGCAAGCCTTTTTCTAGGTTTCCTTACCCCTTACTTTTGAGGTTTGTCCCCCCCAGAAGGTTTGTCTTCCGTATGAGGAGATGGCTTTAGGCCTCGGTTTGGTCCTCCCCTCCTTTTGTATCCTCATGCTTTCTTAATAATAGCTGGTAAGGGTTGCCTAGACCTTACCCCACCGAGTTTGGTGGTTTGCCCGCTGGGATAAAAAAAATATTTTTGGTGTGGTCACATTCCCCCATCTCCCCCAACTCAGCCTCATAGATGGGTTTGCCAACCCATACCTCATAGACTAAGAAAGTATTATTATTGTTCCATGGGCTGCTCTTTTTTATGCATTTTGAAGGTCAAAAATAGCAAAATCATTTAGAGTGATCAAGGAAAAAGAGATTATATAATTAGAAATCATCTTAAATAGAATTAAAACATAGAGAAAAGTACCAAAATATGACTTTCATGTTTTTTTCTGGAATAGGACTTTGCACTGTGGTAATGTGACTTTGCATTGTGGTAATGTGGCAGTGTACATGTGCAAATTACTATACTTTCTTGGTAATGTATATGACCATGTTTGGTAATGTAAGTCCTATTTCGGGAATAAAAACATAAAAGTCATATTTTGGTATATTTTCAATGTTTTAGTCCTACTTTGGTCTTTCTCCCTTATATAATCAATTAAAGCTAAATTTTATAGTTGGTCCTTCAAGTTATTGCATAATTCATTTTTTATATATTCATTTTAATTGAATTATTGCTAAAAAATCATACTTAGTTAATTGTAACAAGCCACAATTTTATAAATACATTAAGACTAAGTGATTATTTTTTTTATCAAAATAAACTCATAAAAGCAAAAGCAACTTATTTAATTTAAAAAATTAGAGTAATTAAATTAAGGTAAGAGTATCTATTATAATGGACCTATATTATTTGATTCATTCCTTACTATAATATTTGACAGTCATGTAACTAAGATGTTGACAAGTATCATCTTACATGATAAATTTCAAAGGACATGACATATGAATAAATTACATGTAAATTACATGACATGTTTTAAATGCTCATTCATCATTTGTGAAAAAATTTATTTATGATAACCTTGAGAAGTTGATGAGTTTAAAAATATATACTCCGGAGTATTTTATATTTAAAAAATTATAGACTTTTGAACTTATTGAGAATTATGTAACTGAAATAAAACTTATATTTATCTTAAAAAATTAAATGAATTATTCATTAAAAAAACTAATCATGATTAGTCTGTGACATTCTTCATAAAATTACAATGGTATTAGAAATATTTTGAGTAAAATATAATTTTTTTAAAAACCATTAATCTATTTTTTTGTATGAAAATTTATTGAGTTAAAATATAGCTCATCTTATATCACCTAAATAAAATAAATATGAAAAATTTATCAAATAATATTAGTTCTTTATGGGTGTTAATAGTATACTCAATAATTTTAATAACAAAAACTCTATGATTTAATTTATTCCAAAACTTTTTTTAATAATTATAATTTGCTTAAATATATAACAGAGAATACAAAAAATACGATAGTCTTTAATACTTTATTTATGAATCAAGTAGTGTTCATAAAATATAAAAAATTTATTTTAAAATGAAAATATTTATAAAAAAAAGGAAATATAACTTTTAAAATATTTTTTTTCATCATATTTTAGTAGGAATTTTTAGGCCTTTTATTTTTCTTTACTAGAACATAATTTTTCATTGGAAAAAGTATAACTCCCTCTTTTACAAAGACCACTAGATTTTTTTTTTTAATTTGTTTAACGACATTGATGCAAGAAGTTCTCATTTTATGACAAATATAAGAAAATACAATTGTATGATTTCATTCACATCATTTGATGGAAAAATACAAAAGTCTCAGAACAATGGCCGAGCATCTCCGCAGTTTACATTAAGGGGAAAAATGATCACAATATTGGATCTTTATTGGCATAAGAGGGTGTTGTTCCAAAATTCACTCAATTATGCATATATTATACCTGGAATGAATTCTCAAACACAATGAGTCACTACAGGTACTTAAAACATGTCATGTAATTTATTCATATGTCATATCATTTAAAATTTGTCATGTAAGATGACAAACAGAAGGAGACATTACATACCACGGATGAATTTGGTAACGTCAGATTCTGGATTATCGTTTAAGTTTCAAAGGAGACAATTTCTAATATCTTTATGTTTTGGCATGACGATCAATAAGAGTCAAGGTCAAACATTATCATTTGTTGGAGTATTCTTGACCAAATCAGTATTTACTCACGGTCAATTTTATGTTGCAGTTTCACGAATGAAAACTAAGAAAAGATTGAAAGTCTTAGTTTTAGATGACAATAATAATCCTTGCAATTACACCAAAAATATGGTTTATCCTGAAATTTTCCAAAAAAATTGGATGTAATTAATACATTTATACGCTCTTTTCAATTTTTAAATATATGAACTTTAGTTAGCATACTCTATTTATGTCATATCATTCATTAAACTTCTAACATTGTACTACCTCCGTCCCACTCTTTTTGTCCAGTTTTGACTTTTGGAACTATATCTAAGCACTTTGACTCATCAAATTCTCTCAATGTGTAAGTCTAAAAATAGTCATGTGTGATCTTGTTTGATTTGTCTTAACATATAGATTATTAATATATAATTTTTATAATTTTTTAATATACAAATTATAAGATAAAATGGATTAAATAAGTGCATTGGATGGTGTGTAAAAATGAAAGTGGACAAAAAGAGTGGGACGGAGGGAATATATTAAAATTGGCTATATATTTTAATCATTTACTAAAACAGAAAATTTAACAGAGTTAAAAACAACATCCGTTCGACCCCGTGCGTTGTACAGGTTAAATACTAGTTATAATATAAAGATTCCTTCCCTTTCGACACGTCCCAAAATTATCCTTAGATTCCAATATTTGGTATAGAAAAGGAGGTTTCGAACAAATTGTATTGAGGGTTTTGGAGCGAGGCTTTACCAAGCTTAGTTTTCATCAACATAAATTAAATGTTTCACGTTTACGTTACTCCGGTTTTTATTAAATCTTCTATAAATATCAAACTGCAAAGCCTTTCAAACAGCATGAGGACAGTACTTCTAAATGCATTTGAGAGCTTCACATGACAGATTATAAAAACCAAACTGCATACATAGCCTTAAAAGTTGATGGGAATTAAAAAGAGCAAGCAATTACAATGTTACTTTTGTTTCAGGAGAGTATGTGTTTCTCTCTCTCTAAATAACCTGCAAAGAAAACATCTATGCAGTTCCTGTAGAAATGGTGAAGAAACAACAGTCTTGGTCAAACCCGGTTGTACGCAACTGACTTGCTGAACAAACGTCGGATGTAAGCAACTTGAAGCAAACTAGCAAGAGCAAGCAAAAGATACTCCCCAATCGTGTAGAAAATGACTCGCCTTCTTGTACTCTCATTTGCTTCATAAAAACATAAATTTCAATTAAGTGTGGGGTATATCGATTATAGGCACAAGGTAGAGCCTAGAGCGCATAGCTAATTGAAGTTTGAGAGCTTTTGCTATCATAACCAAACACAATAAAACTATTATTTATTAGCACACACAGGAAATTGATAGGGAGTGTAATCTCACAGAATCTTAGATTCAGAACCCAATAAGTATACTAAGTTCTAATCAATCTTTCTCCATCCAGACAAGATAAGCAGCTCAATACTTTTTGTGCTTCTCATTTCCCAGAATCCACATCAAAGTGAAAACTAGCATAGCATTATATCTGATGCAATGGGTGCATTAGGGAATCCTAGTTAACATGCTATCTCTAACCCTATTATCAGCCAAGATTTGCCTATCCTAAGACTAAATGAGAAGTCAATACACAAACACTTCTGTACATAATCAATGCTTCCTTTAAAATCCAGTATTATTTGGTTCAGTGATAAGTGATAACATAGGAAAAGTAACAGACCAAATGAGTAATACTATGATCCCAAATAGTAATCTAGATCAAGGCCTTACTATGACGATGGCGAGCATCACGTGCTTTCAAATACTTCTGCTCAGAGGTAACTGATTCCAATGCCTCCCTCAGTTCAGCAATTTTAACATTAATGGGATCCAAATGTTCTGCAATAAGAATCGATTTCAAATCATTTCCAATATTATAAAGGAACCCGTAGAAAACTCCATTGTCATGTATCAATCAATATTTTACTGACTTCAAGTTTCATAGGGCTGGATAAGTTAATATGGAGAATATAACCAAAACATGAATTGAAGAGCTATAAGTATTGAATATTAAGATAGTACGCTACGAGCCTCATGAGCCTTGCTAGTTAGCCGCCCCCTTTAGATAGCATAAAAATATAGGAGAAACTAGTTGTAGGAGAGGATACTAGGATAGCAAATGGTTTGTGTGTGTGTAGATGAGCAGTAAAGTGAAGGGGATACAATTGAATTCTTATTTTTCAACAAATAGAAAAGATAGGGACAAACCGTCCTTGGCAAGGTCATGCTCATTAGGAATGTGGCCAACATGTATGTAGAAAGAGACTGTTTCTGGTGTTGAATATGGATTGTGAAAACAAAATTTGTACATCCCACTTCTCGGGGCTTTGAACTCAAATTTATCACCAGATGTTCCTTTCATTGTGTGCACGACATTGTCTCCAGGTGATGTTACCTGCAGTAGAGAGAGAAAAATAGAGACGGATCATTAATATTCCATTTTCGACTGTATTCGGCAGGAGCTGTCACAGTATTTTAACCAAATAATTACCCAACTACCCAATATGCAATCAATAAAATGCAATAACTCTACATAAATCTTACGATATAGTCATTGTTGCCACATGGATTTGCGCCAATTGCACTTGCAAACTCTGATGTTTCGCAAATAATATAGCATTCTAAAGTTAGCAATCTTTGTAAAATAACACACATATTGACCTATTTGGGGTCAATATGTCTGTTTTCTGTTTTTTGAGTCTTATAGGTTGTAGCTAGTATGAGTATGTGTGTGTCTTATGAATGTGATCTTGCTTAGTTCATGCTAACGTGTTTTCTTTGTTTGTCCTATTGTACTCGAGCCGAGGGTCTCTTCGAAATAGCCTCTCTATTGCCAAGCAGGGGTATGGTCTACATAAACACGCCCTCCCTAGACCCTACTTTCAAGGAATTCTACTAGGTTTGTTGTTGATGTTTGTTGTATTGATCAATTTGGGGTTTGTTTGGTTTGTTTTTTGGTAAGAGATAGCAGGGGTAAGGTCTACATAAACACACCCTCCCAAGACCCTACTTTCAAGGAATTCTACTAGGTTTGTTGTTGATGTTTGTTGTATTGATCAATTTGGGGTTTGTTTGGTTTGTTTTTTGGTAAGAGTTTGGAATCAAGAATGTGGTTTAGAAGGTACTCCATCTATCCCCTTTTATCTTCTCATTTCTTTTTAAAGAAAAAAGTGTATGGTTAAATATCAATTTTCTCTCCTTTGCACAAAAAGTGCAACCACACAATTTAACCTTTCTTAAACTCCAAGAAAAAAAATGAGAAAATTAAATAGGGGCGAAGGAAGTATGAGCTTAGATATGATAGATGAGTGTTCGGATTGTATTCAAGGAATCAAATTCGATAATAGCACTGTTTATCTTCTCAACAATTCATCAACCTCCGGAACACCCAAGCTGCAGGCATATATTGGCACCTCCATCGCTAACCGAAGCCCAGCTCTCCGGCGGCTACACAGCCTGGATGCTGCTAAAATAATGATAAAAAGAAAAGAAATATAGTTTGATTCAATCCTTTTTTCATCTAACACTTCTCCGCCATTTCTTTTTTCATTTTTTTCAACTCAATTGTTTGCGGCGGATAGTTGCAGTGGAGGGGACGACCAAGGTTTGATCGTCGATGGTCGCCAGGAACAGCGCAGCAAAGAGGGGACTGTGACGAGGGAAGCCAGTCAGGAGTTGGAATGAAAATTATAAAAATGCCAACCACACTGCCCCTTGATGGACAACATGATCTATGTCTAGAATTGGTGTAGTAAAAAGTAAGGGCCTTTTTTTCCAAATAACCCCTCATTACATACATTTATAGATAAATCATGTCCTTCTCTGAGATGCAATGAAAGGGTCCTATAATCTTTCAAGTGTGCAAACAAGGAGTAAACTAAGTAAACTACACTTGTAACTTATCAGTCACTTGCATTTTCTCTTCCACAACATTGAAAGTGGGAATGCTGCCCCAAGCTGCCGACAGAAAACCCAACCCAGTTGCCGCTGCACTGGCTCCTCCTCCATCACTAACGAAGCCCCAACTCACCGGAAGCTACACAATCTATGAAGCCACAAAATCATGATCGAATAAAAAAGAAATATACGACTCAAATGTATTTTTGTCCAATACTTTTCTTCCATTTCTTTTCCAAAATTTTTTAAATTCAATTGTTTGCGGAGGATAGTTGCAGCGAACGTGACGACAAAGGCTCGGCAGTCAATGGTTGCCAGGAGCAGCGCAGCAAAGAGGGGACTGCAAAGAGTGAAGCTGATGAGGAGTTGGAATGAAAAGTATAAAAAAACCCAACCATGCCGCCCCTTGACGGACAATATGATCTATTTTTAGGATTGTTATAGTAGCTAGTAAGGGCCTCTTTCCAAATAACCCCTCACAGCATACATTTCTGGATAAATCATGTCCTTGGAAATGAAATGAAAGGGTCCCATAAGCCATCAAGTGTGTAAACAAAGAGTAAAATAAGTAAAATACACTAGTAATTTATCAGTCGCTTGCATTTTCTCTTCCACAACAATGAAAGCTGGAATGCATAGGATAGAATTGAGCTTGAGCTCTAATTCATTCATTATTATAAGCATAGGATCTCCTGTCCCCAACCTTTGAACTGAATATACTGTTATGCTATCATCATTGTCATTTCGCACTTTTACCTTGGTATATATTTAGGCTCATGAAAGGTCTGGGGTCTATTTAGGATATATTTATGATATCTATACCTTTTATTACTTGAGAATCTGCACAAAACATGTACTGACATGGATTGCCTCATTACTCGATGTTTATTTTCTGGATTCTTGTGAACAGCTCCTTGACTAAAATAATGTACCCCCGAGTATGTCATAACTCATAACATATTCAAAGTATCATATATAAGAGAAAAATAAAGGCATACAATCCAGCATTCTACTAGCATCTAATCAATAAAATTTGAATTTCCAAACAAGATATATGTACTTAAACTTTCTCATTTAACTTTTCCTATAGAGATATGGGCAAAATCCGTCATTACCACTCTTTGATTCTTCAAAATTGAATAAATCTGGTTAAAGTTTGAGCAGAAACAAATTATGCAGAAGTAAAAGAAGCTAACTCCAACATATACAATTTACATCTTTCTCAACCAAATATAATTTAACAAACTAAATAATATCAGCAGCGAATTTATTACCAGTAAACCTACATCATGACAATTTGAAAAGATACCACAGAAATCAGCGTGGATGCATATATATATGTACACAAAAGGGAGATTGAACCATCGAAATCTTACGGTAAAATCAATGCCGGGGTGATCCGAGCTCCAGAAGATATCGTGATCGACGACGACAAAGTTGCCGGAAATGGTGTCGCCTTCGTACAGAACGTACTCATACACACATTCGACGTCGTTTACAGTGACAGATAGGGCAGAGAGATCGGAAACGAAACTGAGCAGGATTGTCACCATCAGAGAACAAACTCGGATTCTGGCTAGAATTTCCATTTTCTACAATTTCACAGCGTTTCTTCGCCGAATTATTTTCTCAACTGACGCCTGTTTTCGGAGCGGAGATGGGGAACCGCCTTCTCATTTAGGTTTCAATATCATATAGAATTGCGTCACTACGTTGTCGTTTCATAATTGATACTCTACAATTCAAGGTCTAATTTGATTTTTGATAATCCGTCTCGTTCGCTTAATCTGATCTGATTTGATTTTTTTAAATAATGATATGGTATGATCTAATCTAATTGATTTTGATTTGATCTGATTTTGATCTAAATGGATCTGATTAGATCTAAATTTGCTTCAAATGAAACTTAATATTATTACTCCCCCCATGTAAAAAAGATTGCCACGTTTTGATTTTTTAATCAAATTGTGGCACTCTTTGACCGCAAATTATGGAAAAAGTATAGTTAATTATAACGTAGAATTAGTAAAATTGAGTTTATTTAAAAATATAGTTTTAAAATATTTAATTATTTTAAACTATATTTAGTTCATAGATAAAGGTTGTCACAGTTTGACCAAAAAAGTCAAATTATCACAATATTTTAGAGACGGATGGAGTACTATAATTTAATAACTTTTAAAAATTATAATTATCATTGATATTATAATATAATCAATAACTTTTATCCTAGAACTATTAGATTTATGAAATAAAAATAATCAATTCATATATACATTAGAATAAAAAATCATGGGCAATAACCAATAATTGAAAAATTTAATAATTTAATTTTTAATATTCAATATACGAAAGGGAGAGTATTAATTAAAATAGCCAATTATTAGGGAATACGAATGTTATGCTACAATATTTAATTTTTTTTAAATCTTACATAATAAATTTATACTATAAAATATGAATAAAAAATTTATGCTACAAAATATTACATTTTTCCTAAATTAAAAATAAAAAATTAAAAATTTATGTGTATAGTTGTCACGAGCACTATCTCCGAATCCTAATTGCATTATACTTGGTGGTGGGTGTGGTAACCAAAATTTTGATTCAAACAAGCTATGGCTCCACACTATTCCATCATGTGCACTATCTTTGAATCCGACATTGACAAATATGAAAAGACTATCAAATGATAGGTGCAATAATAATAATAAGCCGGGGTGGGTGTTATACTTTTTCAAGACTAGACATAATCCTCCATGACTTCATATATATCCCTTCTTACAAGTTCATAACAATAATAAGTAGCAATTATTATTATTAATATTATTATTTTTTTATTATTCTAATTTGAATAATCTGATCTAGCCGGATCTCATCTAATCTGATTTAATCTTATTTGATCTCATTTTAATAAGAATAAGTAATAAGCAGAAAAATAAGTTGAATGAAACATAGCCTTAGGTTGCCTTGAGTTAGCATTTCTGATGTGATTTGATCATATTCGATCTAATTTGATTAGATATGGTCTAATCTGATGATATTTGATATGGTTTGATTTGCTATGATAGTAGTTATATTTTAAAATGTTTTTGATCTGATTGGATCTAATCTAATTGAATCTTATCGGAATAATTAATAAAATGACCATATATTTGTTTTCTTAAAAGGAAAAGGAATAAAATTTTGGGACAACCCAAATAAGAAAGAATGAAGATAAATATGGGAATGATTGAGTAATTCTTAAACTTTCAAAAATTGTGAAATAGTCATTGTAGCAAAAAAAATCTGAGCATAACTAGTCCATCTCTTAGGGACTACGTGAAGTGTGCACAACATGTGTAACAAAGATGTCAAACATACAACAGTAAGAAAGAGTTGATTCAAAGCTTTAGTTGGAACGCTTAAACCAGAATACATTCTCTTCCATCTTTTGGCTCAACACTCATAACAACTTCATGTCCTCCGGGCGGATCCAGGTTAAGACTATGGGGGAGGGGGGCACCAACCCCAGTTAATTTTTTTTATTTTCAATCTATAGTGAAAAATCTAAAAAATTGTAAGAAATTAAAAAATTGCCTCATGCAAAGTGTAGGACCTCAGGCGCTACCAACTCTTCTAAAACCAATTGGTGTTAGAAGAGGCGCATACCCTAGCCTTATAGTGCATTCAACACACAAGCGCCCACGACATTCGACTGTGACTTGGCCCACATAGCCTCCGCCACGGGACATGATTCGAGCCTGCTCCTCGCTCCGATACCAATTGTAAGTTCGTGGGGGCGCAGCGGAAATCACTAATGAAAGCTATGCAAACAAATCATCAAACTATGCTGCAGAGAAGACGCTGCATCACTGTCACAGTAACAGATGATGGACAGTGTACTATAACACTTCTCTGTCACAAGCACACATAGAAGCAGATGATGCAGAGGGCGTTACAGCGCCTACTGGACAGAATGCTGTAACTATAAAAGCGTAAAAATGACACCAGATATGTTTACGCAGTTCGGAGAAACTCTCCTAATCTGCGGGGCCCACGTCCGTGTAATAGTCCTCCACTAAATCACTAGATGCAAGTTACACCGGTACATAACAACATGATGAGACACACTTCTCCGAATTGTTATGACAAAACTTCTAATCTAGGATTTCTAACCCGGATTCTGTTCAGATCCGCTTTGGCTATCACATCTCCACCGAGATCACGAGGACAAACGTGTTGGCAGCACACTCGTTCAGCTCTAATTCATCTCCTGGACATCACGATCTGTTTGGCGTTGAAGATCTCCTCCTTCATGTAGATCGTAACCTTCTTCACGCATGGGAAGCTCCGGGATGCGACGAGAACGCTCTACATCAGCGTATATTCTTTGTTTTCCCTCCCAATCGCTCCGAGTAATTCCCAGGGACCTGCTGCGTTTTTATAGGCTCCTCTTAACACAATCCTAGTAGGAATAGGATAGTAGAAGTTGGCTTGAACTCTACTTCCTTCATCTTGATCCACAAGTAGCCTAAAGAGTTGGGATTCCTTAGCATGTACAGCTGGAGTTATTATCATGTAATCACAGTCCCAATAGGTCTCTAATTCAGATTGCAGCTTAAAATCCCGTGCTCAGACCTCTGATCCCGAACAGTGTGTTGCAGCATCGTGTTGTAACATCTTCTGTGTCAACCTCAAAAACTGCAGCAACTCTAGAAGTCTAAATAAAATATACCTCTCCTAACAAATAGAGGTTTCTACCTAGTAAAACACCTAACAAATATATGATTCTATTTTGCCAAAAGATTAGCCAACACCATGGAACTAACACAAAGAAGCCCAGAGTCAAAAAAATTTATTTCAAAACAAAAACAAATTGTTAAAATATTTTAAAAGTAACATATTTGAAATATGGTAATCATATTAAGTTATCTCATACTTTGTACGTCACAGGGCGGTCCTGAGGATTCATCAACAAAATACTATATGCAATGCAGGCATTCTGGTAACAACCAAGTTCTTTTAAATGCTTCAAAACATCTATGGCAGGGGCAGATCCAATGCTTAGCTATGGGGGCAGTGGCCCCCAATGAACATATTTAAATATTCTTCAAAAAAGAAAAAAATTGGGGTTGATTTCATGGATGCCCCCAGTAAAAAATTCTTGGTGCCCCCAGTCAAAATTCTTGTGCACCAGTCCAAATGTTAGTACATGGCCCAACTCTATTTTTTTATTAGTAAAAATTTTATTTTATGGCCAAAAGCCCCAACTAAATTGCCCAATTCTTTATTTCTCAATTTTGGTTTAAAAAGACTAAAATAATCCAATGGCTAATGGAAACTTTTGAAACCAAAAAATGATTTTTTTTGTTATTTACTATTGTCATGATGTCATCTAGTATCCGTCTAGTTTGATATTAACGAATCAAATTGAACAAACTCTGATCATCAATTAAATTAAAATTGTATAAGATATTGGTACAAAAATAATTTTATTAGATTTATCTTATCGAAAACTATCATTTCTTTATATTAATACACTACTTCTGCCCTTGAGTATTAATCTAGTTTGGACTTTTTGAAGTTAGTCATTTTCGATCTTTGACCTCAAATTATATAGAAATTTTATGATATATCTAGATAAAGCAATATTTTAAAAATATTGTATGAAATAAATCTAATAAAATCATTTTTAATTTTTATCAATATCTAATATCAATTTTATTTAATTAGTGGTCAAAGCTTTACAAAAAAAAATCAAAATTAGACATATAGTCATGGACCAAGGTAGTGCAATATAAACTTAATATAATTAATTTTTAAATTTCATTCAAATTGACCTTTTTCATTCAAACTAGATGAATACTTCAAGGCGGAAGAATTACATTACATTAAAAAAATTTGTAGACGTGCTGCCTCTAAACCCCGTCTCGCCATTGTTGCTATTCTTCTTCAATGGTGCCCCTAGTGATATGTTGTCCTAGATCCGCCACTGAATTCTATGGGATTGCTAAATTCACTGGTTTGTAATGTGTTGAATGATTTCAACTCCATGTAAAGCTCTTCAGCATCAATATCCGATTTTTTTTCAAACTTGAGTGCATTTTCAAGTTGATGGCAAAACAACTTAAGCTCTTTTTCTTCAATTCCACTCAACTTATGTGAAAACAAAAACCCAAATAATCTCTCATAGTCTTTGAATTGTTCAAATCTCATCTCAAGAGAAGATATGGCTGTATCCACAACATAAGAGAAGAAATTGACCCTGAAATTCTCTTCATTTGTAAATGAAACTTCTTCGCTACTTGAACTCTCATCAACTCCTTTTTTCCTTCAAATCAAACGCTTTTCTGGAAATATCGAAGGTATATCCATTTCAGCAGCTATCTCCTTTGCTTCATCAATTGCTTTTGAATAACCAGTTTCTCTATAACCCTTGAAGTAGTCAATCAATCCATTTATCTCTTTAATAGCAATATCAAGATGCATATCCTTTGATTGTAACTTCTTGCTCAGTATATTTACCTGGTTTAATATTTGATACCAAATAACAATTGATACCAAAAACTCAAATTCACTAAGATTTTCTGCTAGTGACTTTGTTGTATGAACAATTGTACTATCACTATCTTTTTCTTCAACTTCAAGCAAAGCTTCTTGTGCATCGGCAAGTTGCATTCTAATTGCCTTAATACTCTCAACATGACTTTCCCAACGAGTTTGAGATAATGGCTTAAGACTCCAACCTTTAACATTATCTTTCAAAATTTGCCACCGACTAATTGAATGTGCAAAGATAGTATAAATTTTTTGGATGGCTCCAAAAAAAATCTTCCCTTTAACACAACTCTGAGCCATATCACATAATGTAAGATCAAGAGAATGACAACCAGGAGTGTAAAATGCTCTAGGATTGACATCCAAAAATCTTTTTTGAACTCCTTGGTGTTTTCCTTTCATATTTGCCCCATTATCATAACCTTGACCACGAATATCATCAATTTCAAGACCAAGAGACTTTAACTCCTCAATTGTGACATCAAATAGTCCTTTTCCGGTGGTATCATTAACATTTAAGAAGCCTAAAAAGGACTCTTCCACAGTAATAGAATTACCTGAAAAATTTAAATACCTCACTATCATACTCATCTGCTCTTGGTGACTTATATCAGGGGTACAATCAAGTATGATTGAGTAGTACTTGGCTTCCTTTATCTTCTTGATGATTTCCTTCTTAATCTCTTGGGCTAAATCAAGTATGAGCTCATTCTGGATCTTGTGCCCGAGATAATGCACATGAAGCTCATCATTTGTGATTCGTCGAACATGCTCTCGAATAACTAGATCAAACTCTTGTAACATCTCAATGAGACCCAAGAAATTTCCATTACCTATTAAAAACTAAACATAATTAAGAAACATGACACTTTATGCAAGTGGAACATTTAAAAGTAAAACACTTTTTAACTCATTACCTTTTTGATACAATCTATCTTTTGAGCCACGGAATGCTAAATTATGTTTAGCCAAAAACTTCACTAATGCTATGATTCTGAAAATGACTTGTTTCTAGTATTCTCTCTCTTTCTTGCATTGCTCGTGCTGAACTTTATCAATTGTTTCATTCAGCTTCAATCTTTTACGCATATCAAGCCATCTATTCACATTGGAGAGATGATCCATTGAAAGTTCGTGTTCTTTGACTCTTCTATGAGCATGGTGCCAATCTGAATAACCTTAACCATCCAATTTTCCTTTTGGAATTCCTGTTCTAAACAGTTTACAGCAAAAACAAAATATCTGTTGAAATATTAGAATAATAATATTGCTCCTTGAATTATGGAGTACATGATAGAGTATATATAGGAGAGACTCCTAACACAACTAGGAATAGAGAATGGAAACTAACTAACATACAACATCTACCACAAATAGGATTAGGAAACTGACTAATAATGAAACACTACCATAACCAATACTACAAGAAGTACTATTAATATTATTGTCTAACATCCCCCCTCAAGCTGAACTCTGGCTGAAGCAAGAGGAAGCTTGGCACTAGCTGGAAACTAGAAACTTTGAGAAGAGAGAAGTCTGACATGCGCCGGTGGCTGCTCACGTCGTTGGAGAAAAGAGAAGTGTGACGCGCGCCAGTGGCTGCTGACGTCGTTGGAGAAGAGAGAAGTCTGACGCGTGCTGGTGGCTGCTGAGGTCGTTGGAGAAGAGAGAAGTCTGACGTGCACTGGTAGCTGCTAACGTCGTTGGAGAAGAGAGAAATTGACGTGCGCTAGTAGCTGCTGACGTCGATGAAGAAGAGAGAAGGTTGACGTGCGCTTGTAGCTGCTGACGTCGAAGAATAATAGAGAAGGCTACTGGAGGTGCCTGTTTGACTGAAGATTCTTGACATTTTTTGTCTTTTTCTTGGATCCGGGCAATGCCCTATTTCCTTCTTGAAGGGGTGAGTTGTAGAGGTCTTATTTCCTCTTTCACTACTTCCCCTCTTGGCTTTGCTTTTGTGCTGATTTGCTTTGGATTTTTATTGGTTCAACAGAAGAGAAAGAGAAGGGAGGTTGATGATTAGAATGAGTGATTTTAGAGAGAAAAAGTAGGTTAAGAATTGGAGATGGAAAAAAAAATTGGGTCTGAAATTTTGATATGGTGAATTGGAGAGAAACAACAATCATTTTTTTTCTCTTTTTTTGAGAAGATAGGATAATCTGAGAGAGTTTGTGAGAAGTTGAGTTTTTTTGATGAACCATGGAGATGACAAGAGAGAAGTTTCTCCTTTGATAGTTTTTTTTGTGTGATTTCAACAAGGGTTTTTTTTCTTTTTTTCATTTGAATGGAGAAGTTGATTTGAGGATAAAGAAGAAAAAGAAAATAGAGGTGGATAGGGTGAAGCCGCAGTCGCCGGAATTACCGGCGGCGGCGGTGGGAGCAAAGAACTCTTTTAGGTCACCAAGAGCGGTGGCTCCGATACCATGTTGAAATATTAGAATAAGAATATTGCTCCTTGAATTATGGAGTACATGATAGAGTATATATAGGAGGGACTCCTAACACAACTAGGAATAGAGAATGGAAACTAACTAACATATAACATCTACCACAAATAGGATTAGGAAACTGACTAATAATGAAACACTACCATAACCAATACTACAAGAAGTACTATTAGTATTATTGTCTAACAATATCTTGTCAACTTCTTTCGAATATACAAGCCAATCTCTATCACACTTCTCCATATTTGGTAAAGTTTTTGTATATAATGCCGCAGAAAAACGTCTACCATTTTGTCCATCTTTGTCGTATGGACCATAGTGAATACTATGATATCTTTTTGGACCTTAGCTTTCTCCACCAAAAGTTTAATCTCTTCAGAATTAAGTCCTTCTCATCTTCTTGGATCAAATATATCAACAACATATGCACAACACTAACCATAGGCTCAAGATGTTCTTCTGCATCTTCTAAATTTTCTTCCTCTTCTTCTAATTGTTCATCCTCTTCAACATGTTCTTGCTCTATTTGTAAATGCTCTTGCTCTTCCATCTCTTTTACTTCTACTTCTTCGTCTCCAGCAACAGGTTTCATAAAGTTATATAGAGCTCCGGCTTGAGACTTTCTCATTTCTTCATCTCGTTTTCTTTTTTTTCTGTTTTGACTACCGGATAATTGTTTAGAAGTCATAGCTATTGAATTATTTCTGAAATAAAATCCAAAATCATAAATTCTACTAAGTAAAATCAAGAATAAAAAACTGAAAAAAAGCAAGCAAATAAATAAATAAATAAATCATAAATTAATATTAATTCGTCAATTTTTCTTTTTTTAATTGTTTTTTTCTTTTTCAGTTGTAATTTTTTTATAAATCATAAATTCATATTGATTCATCAAAAACTAGTGAAGCCAATTCTTTCAAGGTTTTGTCTAATAAAATCCTGGCTTGGTCTTCCAAAATAGAGTGACCCAACCAGAGCTCTAGAGAATCTGGAAGCAAGAAAACATACCTCTTCCTTTGAGAAGACTATGCAGGGTTGCCCTTTGTGTTTTTCCACTTCACGAAAAGGGAGCGCTATGGGCGTGACCTAGTGTGAAGATGCCACTATAGCTGTTGCATAGCTTTTGCGCAGTTTAGGTGTGTTGGGGTTCCATTATTTTGCTGCAAGTTGAATGTGAGTGTTTTTTGAAACTGAGGTGGGGTGAACGGTTGAAGGGAGCGCGGGTGTGGTAGATGTTGAGGGGTGGCCGGAAGCCTGCCCGGAGGAGGCCGCCGGCATTGATTTACGGTGAGAAGGGGGTAGAGAATATATATATATATATATATATATATATATATATATATATATATATATATAATATCAGATGGAGAAGTTAGAGAGAAGGAAGAGCTTTCCGGCCTCCCTTCCGGCCATATTTCCGGCAGGCAGTAAGCGCCCAGAGAAGGACCAGTCCCACAGATTTGTCAAACACTTCTCAGATCTTTTTAAGCAATCTAACACCCAAGCAGTTGGAAAAGTTGAAGGCTTTTATAACTCATGCCCATCAGTGAGTTTCAGTCAAGAGGAAGAGATGCATTTGGCCAGTAAAATGCATCACTCTGCTGTGGGCAGGTTCAAAAGGGAGGTAAACCTCGCACATCTAAAGGAACTCCTTATTAAAATGGGGTTCAAGGCTTTCAAAATAAGGAGAATCAACAAGTTCGATGTCCTTTTCACTTTCAAAGAAGAGAATGACTACCTACGATTCCTTCTTAAGAAAACATGGCATGTTCATAATACCCCTTCTATGTTTTTAAATGGAGTACTGAATACAAATCTACTGAGGATTGTCCCATTTATCCTGTTTGGGTCTCTTTTGAAAAGCTCCCTCTTCACCTCATTGACTTCTAGTCTCTTTTCACCATTAGTTCATTATTGGGGAGACCTGTAAAAATGGATGATTTCACAGTCAGTAGAGATAGGAGGGAAAGTGCAAGAGTGTGTATTGAGATAGATTTATCCATCCCCCCTCCCTCCAAAATTCACATCAGACTTGGTGCTCGGGACTTATTTACCAATTGTGGGTATGAAGATAGACCTCTGTACTGCACCCTCTGCAAAAAGCTTGGTCACAAGCATGATTTTCATGCTCTAAACCAAAACCATTTACCCACCGGAAAAGCTCCCTCTGGCAAGGGTAAGACGGGCATATCTCCTGAGTATCAGAATGGATGGGTGGAAATCAAGAGAAAAAAGACAAATGGAAACAGGGCACCCAATCAATCAGAGCACAATAATAATACAGTCAGACAGGGCCCCACCATCTTTGAATGGAAAAAGAAAGGATATGTGAACCAAAACACCAATAATTTCATGTTGCTGGACCTACTGGATAATTATGCTGGAGAATTACCATGTAATGTGGAGAGTGAATTATTGGGTGACAAGGTTAATCTTACCAATCCCTCCGACCCCCCACTGCAAGAGTTCAACCCAATTTTTCCATCCCTTTCTGAAGCAAAAGCCTTTGCTTCCAAAAAAATGCTTGTTACTTCCAAAACTACAGTTAGTACTGGAATGGCAAAAGATCAGCCAAGGAAAGGTTCCTTTGATGACTGTCTTCATAATCACTCACCTGAGAAGGGACTTGCCATGCTTATTGAGGAAATCCATGATACCAATATGCAGGAGATGGTGCCAGATACTAGAGATTATGGATACCACTCTGAGGGTGGAAAAAGTAGTGATATTCTTGATCAATCTGCATTAACTC